CGTAGTCCTACGTCAAAATTAAAATATTAGTGATTCCTTCAACATTAATTGAACAGTTCTAGATAGAGCTGGAACTAGGGCGTAACAGTCTTTGTAAACAATGACTTTTCTCGTTGATTTCTAGGCATTCAAGGCACGCCTACACAAACCAACATATCCATCGAATAGGGGTAGTCTTCCCCTACTCGATGGTGATGTCAATTTGCCAGGGAGAGCCATGACTTTCGAGAAATCTTCAAGAGAAGTCATTGTTAACAAAAGTTGTTACGCCCTAATTCCAGCTCTATCTAGAACTGTTCAATTCATGTTGACGGAATCACTAATATTTAAATTTTTCTGATCTCGAAATTGTCATAGACCTGTCACAAATTGTCAAAGGTACTCAATGTTCTGGCTATTTAACTTCGAGATCTTGATTTTTTTCCTAGGCTAGCCTCATTGTCAGTCAGATTTACACACTGATTTTTAATTAATCTTTCTAGCACAAATTTGATACCAATCAAGCTGTGATTTGATGTGAGTTTTTAAAGTCAAATTCTTTACTCTCATCGTAAAAAAGTGACTTTAGTGACTAAATATTAAGGAATAGTGACTTTAGTAACTTTTTGATGAAATAAGTGACTTTTTAGTGACTGACTTGAAATTAGTGACCAAGTCACTAAAAAGTGGCCTGCTACCAGCCCTGGATTAAGAAAAAACTGAACTAAAATTTGGGTTGATCTCATCGGCCGTGTACAAATTTAAAGGGACAAAATCCAACTGGTCTTATTGGGATACATTGTAAAGTATGAAAACTCTTGGCATCGACACAATATAAATTCGTACGATTTCTTCTTCAGATGATAACGTACAAACTTAACATTAACTCTTCCCCTGACTTAAAAAAAGGAGTTTACGCCATGTAGGTATCAACCATATTGATCGGATAAGCCATCTCGGAAAAAGCTTGCCTAGATGAAACGCGTCCACAGACGCACATACAGACATCAGCAAATTTCATCTTTGATTCTACGATGTCGTAATCAAACTGTCGAGCCAGATCGAGCAGAGATCTATCGATTGGGAATGTTTTATACAGGTGAGATAGCTTGTGTGGATGGCTACACTAGTTTACAGCATTTTTGAACTCGGTAAGGTGATGATCATTTCCAATGCAAAATCTTACGCTGAATTCAATGCCGTGGTCAGAAAAAATTAAAGTAGAGCCACTTTTGAGATATACAAAAATTTTGATTTTTTTAATTTTGGACAAAAGTACGATTACTAAAATGTCAATATCTTTAGAACTAGTGCACCAATTTTAAATCTTTTTTTATGAAAATGAAGCTAAATAAATTTGCTATCGTTCACTTGAATATTATGTCTTGATTAAAAATTTAATTTTGAAGTTATTTAAAAATTTACAGCATTTTTTTTAATTTTTCCTGCGAATTTTCCATAAAAATCTTGTTTTAATCAACATTTTTAATGGGATAAAAAGATTCAAAAAATCATTCCATAATTTATTCTTAAAGTCCATTCAAAACCGGAGAAAATGAGCCTTTAATGGATGAAATCGGTTGGAAATTGTCGAAGTTATGAGCATTTCTGTAAAACACTTAAAAATGTTGCTGAAATACAACAGCTTTAGAGTTCCTTTTCTAGGTGTCGTTGTAAGCATCCAAATCGCATGTAAAGTTTTCATGGGAGATTCTTTTCTCTACATATCAATTTGATTAAGGCATATCAGGATTTAAAACCGAGTTGATACAAAAGAAATTTATTTAGGTTTTATTAAAAATGATTGAGAATCGAATGACTTTGTCTTCGATGTTTTGAACTTGTTTCTCGAATCAGAAACCAACAATAGTCACCCATCATTGCTTCATCCCAAAACCCTTGGTAACGACGTTCCATCATCTTCATTTGTTGGTGAAAACGTTCGCCGTGCTCATCACTCTCGTCACCAAGATTTTCCGGGAAAAAATCCATGTGAGAATGTAGGAAATGTATCTTCAAAGACATATTCACACCTGTGTTCAGTGAAATGAAAGGATTTGAAATTAATTATATGTAACAAACACAATATTTTTGATTTATACCTATTTTCTCATAATTTTTGAGTAATTCATCGACGGCTTCCTCATAATCTGGGCTTCTGAAATTTCCTAAAAAGGTTGTGACAACACGCTGGAACGATTTCCACGCTTCTTCCTCATCTGGTGTCAAAACTGTATTGAATGCGGAATCATTGAGCAGTTTTTTGATCTGTGGGCCAACAAATACACCTTCCTTTATATTTGCGTCAGATAAATTTGGAAATACTGATTTCAAGTACTGGAATGCCGGCCCTTCTTTTTGCAACGCTTTGACGAAATTTTTGAATAGCCCAAGTTTTATATGTAGTGATGGAAGTATTATGCGTTCTTTTACCACAAGAGGATCATTTTTAACGTTGTCTTTACAAATTGTGAAATTATCCCGTTTTGGCCAATCTTTTCGGACGTAGTGTTTCTTACGAGCTCGACTGTCCCATTTACACAAAAAACACATATATTTTGTGTATCCCTGTTGCAATCCAGTCAACATGGCAACCACTTTAAGATCGGAACAAATTTTCCAATTGTGTTGATTGTAATTTATCAAATTGAGTAATAGAGCCATTGATTCATACGTTTCCTTCATATTAACGTCATGAGCTAATGGAATAGAAGGTTTCTCATTCCCTTGATGCAGTAAAACGGCTTTCAAGCTCATCTTGCTGCTATCGATGAATAAACGCCATTCAGCTGGATCATATGGCTCACCAAACTCTTCAAACAAGCCGTTTACGTCATGGCAAAAACATGCCTTGTCCTTTGTAGAATAATATTTGTCAAATTTCTTGTGACGATTCCTGTCACAAGAAATTTTGACCTCCTTGCTCAGCATGTTGTGTTCTTTCAAGCGTGATGCCAGCAATTCGGATTTCTCCTTCGATAAGTCGAGATCTCGCACCAAATCATTAAATTCGGATTGTGTAAACAGTTTTGGGTTTCTTTCCAATTCCACCTCGAAGTCTTCCTTTCTCCTTGAATTCCTCCTCACTTTTTGTAACGGTCGATTCAACAGAGGGCGCTCGTTTCCGCTTTGGATAAACAGGATACGGGACCGAACTTGAATGTGGAACAGGTTTTGTCATAGAAGCCACTTGTGGATACTCAACTGTTTTGTGACGTCCTTGTTGCTTAACTTTTGTCAAGCAGAAATAACAATCCGTTGCATGACAAAACGGTCGACGCCATATGGTGGCATGTCAAAGGACAAATAGCGACTGACAGATAACAAATAAGTGAGTTAGTAAGTAAGACATTAACACTTATCAAAAATAGATGAAGTAAGATAATGTCGATCAGGAAAGAACAAAGCACTACCATGCTGTACATAAATTGTTTATATGAAAGTTATTCAAAAAATCAATTTACCTTGCGCCTGACATCCACCTAGCCAAGCACGTTTTGCACGAACTACATAATACTTTTGGAATCCACGGTTCGTCAAAGTCTCCAGGATCAATTTTAAAATAAAGCCTGTATGCAGTTTGCAACGAAGCAGTGAAATTGACCGATTTTGTAAATATATAGTTGCCACGCGCGTAACAAAACTTTTGAGGATCATTTTTACACTTGAATTCACGTTTTGTCGTATACATCGTTAAGCAATGTTAAAGAAAGAAAGCTGTCAAATTGAGTTGGTTGCGTTAGGTTCTCGCCGAGCGGTCTCACAAACACTAGCGTAAATTATATTGTTGAAAATATCCCATTTAATTTTGCGTGACAGCTGGTAGTGTTAGTGAAATGCACCGTATGCGTACACGTCCGCCGAAAGGCTTACTGGAAGTGGTGCATGAACCTAGGAGCGGGACAACGGCCAATCTTGGAACATTCAATTTCCATGATTTTACAAAAAAAATCATAACTTCGACAATTTCCAACCGATTTCATCCATCAAAGGCTCATTTTCTCCAGTTTTTAATGGACTTTAAGAATAAATTATGGAATGATTTTTTGAATCTTTTTATTCCATTAAAAATGTTGATTAAAACAAGATTTTTATGGAAAATTCGCAGGAAAAAAAATGCTGTAATTTTTTAAATGACTTCAAAATTAAGTTTTTAATTAAGACATAATATTCTGATGAACGATAGCAAATTTATTTAGCTTCACTTTCATAAAAAAAGATTTAAAATTGGTGCACTAGTTCCAAAGATATTGACATTTTAGTAATCGTACTTTTGTCCAAAATTCAAAAAATCAAAATTTTTGTATATCTCAAAAATGGCTCTACTTTAATTTTTTCTGACTACGGCATTGAATTCAGCGTAAGATTTTGCATTAGAAACGTTGGTCAACCACTAAAGTTCACACTTTTTAGGTTGTTTTGTAAACTAGTGCTATCGGTCACAGACGCCAAGACGTATGAAATCCGATTTTAATACCTATGTTACGGTAGTAACAAAGGTAAAACTGAATTGCCACAGCAGAAACAATGTAAACAAACTTAGATATATATCATAACAATGAAGGCTAGTAAGTTAATGTAGTAGCTGGAGCACCTAGATTTAAATGACATGTAATTTAATTCAAATTTGGAACAAATAAAGAGTTAATAAAGCTATTGTTTTGCACAGAGAACGTTAATGCAAATATAGGTAAAGCATGGACGACTGTCATCACAAAACTGATAAAAGCTGTTCCAATCGATCAACTTTTGGCAGACGTCCATACTTTTACTTAGAGGACTTAACATATAGGTACTGATAGCAAATTTTGGATGAGCAAAACATTTAAAAACATTGTAAACAAACGGGGACAGTCTACTGATGTGTTCCTGTTGTAGGTATTTGAAAGCACTGATGATTTTAGCAAACAACTAGGGTGATAAGTGATAGCATCCACGCAGAGGCTTTAAAAATTGCGCATCACCCAGCGAATAACAACTAGGTACCGTCTGTAATATCCAACATAGCTTCTTCTACTCACCCGCAAATTATGATGGCAAAGCACTGCACCAGCGCCGGGTAGAGATTATCCATGGAAATGCTCGGTTGATCATCGTCCCCGCCGCCGTCGCTACTGCCGTTGTTCGTTGACATCGTCGTCGGCGGCAGCATAGTGGTTACATATGGATCACCACTCATGGCAGCAGTAGTAGCATTGGCCACGACCGACAATAGCGTCTTGTTCGCCAAAGTTAGCATACTGGCCTGAGCTACCACTTTTGCCACGCCAGAGGCGTTGGTTTTCATCAGCAAAGCTATTTCTCCTGGATGAGTTTCGTCAGCGGGCACGTTCTTTTTCACTTAGGACACTTTGTTGATTGTTGTGGCTTGGCACAAGTTTAGAAACAATTAGTTTTGACACAATCCATTTTTACTTTCTCACTTTTTTTAATGAGCACTGCACTGGAATTAAGTAACATAATTTAAAACACCATTGAGTTGAAATACTACTAAACAAAGATCATCCACCCTTCAATCGATTATGGAAACAGCTGTTCGTCATTACTCATGCTCGATTTAATTCACGTGCACGTTGCTATCGATCTATAAAATGCGGTTCATGGAAGAGTATACTCGAGACAGTAGAGCGCTTATTGACACTGTTGATTGTTGTACATCGGCCGACCTGTATCAATAACATCACATCACATGGATCATGTAGCACAACCCACGAGGCCTGTCAGTATGTAGCCTAGCACTTCTCTCGAATCGATTACATAAATTTATAATTCAGTTATTCCTACGTCTCGTTGAAGTTATTTTCCTTACTTATACCCACAGACGCCTACCCACTAGGATGGAAGAGGGATTACGCTGTCAATACTATCAAGAGGGGGTTAGTAGCCTACAATGCTGCACAGAGTACCTATCTCTTGAAGGAACATTGTTTTCAGAAGTGTATTTCGAATACCACTCCTTTTTTGCTCATCGCCACATTTTCACTTTTTCAAAAAATTGAACCTCTCGTTTCATTTCGTTCCATGCATCAGAATGGACTTTCTGTTTCTGCACAGCTGTGATGTTCCAATTTCTTATTATAGAACAGGTTTTCCTAATGATGTTTTCGCTTTTTTTACGTCTTGTATGTTAATTAAATAATACATCTTATTTCTTGGCTTCTGTATAAATTTAATAACAAAATCGATCTTCTATGATGTTAAACAGGTTTTTGAATTTTTTGCAGCATCATGTTAACAAAAAAGTTACACTCTAAAATCACACGGGAAAAATTGACGGCAAAAAAATCGCGAGAAAAAATAGTCATTCGCAAAATTTGATCTAAATTTTTGCCAAAACCCGCAATTTAGCCAGCTGCAAAGTTCTCTCTTTCGTCGAAGGGACATAGCAATTGAAATTTCACAACAAACTCGCTCACATTCATTAAGAATACACAATCAACAGTGTCATTTCCACCTCTCGCTTGTTTCATTCGATTCTCCTCTTTCCCTTCAGCTGACCGCCCATGTCGCATTGCCGTGAAAGGATTTAATCTGCGAAAATCGATTGAAACCTTGAACACCGACACTGGTCGCTGCAACAAGCCAGATCGACTGCATCATGGAGCCAGCAAAATAAACTTTTTTTTTTGTTTTGAATCTGCTGCTGCTAGGCACTGCCATAGATGAGTTCCAAGAACAAAAACAAAACCTAGAAGGGTCTCGTTTGCTTTGGTGTTTTTTTTTTGCCAGGTGAAACTTATTTTTTCTGCGGACACTAATTTCTGTTTGTACGGTTAATCAAACTTTTTTTTGGGCAAACCTACTGGTTTACAAAAAGCCCAAGGGCATTCCTACCGAAATATGCAAAATCGAAATTATAACCACGAGAATTTTTCCACTTTTGCACAATTTTTCACCGTACTGAAAAAGGCTGCATACGTCAGACTTGATGAGTAAAAGTTTTCTTTTCTATGTAGGTACTGCGCACACCGACAGGCATACGATTCTCCGAATTGGCTCTTAGATGTTCACTACGTTTGGTTTGCGTGCATAACGAATGAAATCCGACCGAGTACTGACGACTGAATGGAAACTGAGAGGGAACTTCGTTTTTTTTTCAATTCAAGAGAAAACTATATGTATAAACAACCGCTGACGTTTATCGCAATTATTTGCCAGAAGCAGTCATTTTCATTATACCACACATACACGTGAATAAAATGACACTGACGGTGCTGTAATCTAGCGGAATACGACGGTAGAAGGTTGTTCGAAGTGACCGTTGGGCTCACTAATATGTGTAATCATATATTTGGCAAAGCAGGCCATGTGACTGGATCTGCTAATGATTTACATACAGTATGTCAGTATGTCAATTTATTGTCAATATATTGATATGTGTAATGGGCGCTTTGCTTGAACGCCATTTTAATAACTTAAGAGCAAATCGACAGTGAGCATGCATAAGGGCGTAAACGCAATGATTCTCTTTTGCTTGGATTAACGTTTCTCGGTGCGTTTGCTGGTGCTTTTGATAGTCAATACAACCTGTTACAGCACTGCATTGAACAAATTCTAGAGAATTGTTTCGCTTAGCTGTAGCAGTGCAAAGAGAAAACCGATGAAGGGAATCGATCATTGCGTATACGCCCTTATGCATGCTCACTGTCGAAATGTCAAAATCAAAATAGATACATTATTCTGCACGCACACACCCACAAAATAAGGGGTTTTTTAAATGCTCTTAAAAGAAATACGTCAAGTTTAAGTCGACTAAATTTTGATCGTAACACCCTTTATGGAATGGATCTCACATTTAATATTTTTTGCCGAGATTTGCACAGCCGCAGTGCAATCTGTTTTACTGAGACCTCAGCAGAAGTGACGTGTGGTTGCTGAGTCTCGGAAAATGCTTTACTGAATCTCAACAAACGACGTGATGTTTGCTGAGATCTCCGTAAAATTGATTGCCGAGCACTTGGCTGTGCCAATCTCTAACTAAGTGTGTATGTCTTGAATGGTCAAGAGCTGGTCATCAGGAAACTCGAGAACATCCACAAACATGTTCACTTCACGAATCAGAACTGAAATCGTCGAATATTTGGATCCTTAACGTAAATTAAGGATCGTGATCGGATTGTAGACTTTGGATTAGGATTAGGCGATTTTGAATCACACTTTTTGTATTTTTGGAGCAGCCCAATTTCAGATGCAATCCGCAATAAATGTTGCCTGCTTATATTTATCGAACTTTTCGCCACATTTTTAATTTTGATTTAGGCAGAAGGGGGTCTTATGAAAGCCAAATCTCAAGTCTCAAGGCCACATTCCAAAACGTGATTGGAACATGGTGATTACGCCAAATTATAACGTTTAAAATGAACCACATGCCCCAAACAACCTCTAGAACGGTTCCCATACATTCTCCATGCTGAATCGTAATTCCCCCCTTTTCCTATATCATTGAATGTATGTATTCGTATGAACAGCATGTACAGTATAATATACTAATTGAATAAAATAAATATTTACCTGTTAACAATGATCGAGATTTTCATTATCATTTTATGATGTACAAGGGGGTGAGGGGCAATGTTCCGTATACGTTGCGGAACTAGCAGCCATATTCTACGCAGTAGAACAAATTGCCTCACTACCATCTGATCACTATTATATATTTACTGATAGCCTTAGCTCGTTGGAGACTATTCGATCAATGAGGCCGATGAAGCACTCCTCGTATTTCCTGACCGAAATCCGAGCTAAATTGAGTACTTTATCTAACTGCTCCTATACTATCACCTTAGTTTGGGTCCCATCTCATTGCTCAATTCCGGGTAATGAGAAAGCGGACTCGCTAGCGAAGGTGGGCGCTATGGAAGGCGATATTTTTAATCGACAAATCGCCTTTCAATTACCCGTCAGCACGTCCTCACCAACTGGCAACAAAAATGGAATGAGAGTGATCTGGGAAGATGGTTACATTCTATTCTCCCACAGGTATCGAACAAGCCATGGTTCAAAGGATTGGACATGAGCCGTGACTTTATACGTGTCATGTCAAGACTCATGTCTAATCACTACTCGTTAGACTCGCATTTCTTCCGAATCGGGCTCGCAGGCAGCAATTTGTGCGCTTGTGGTAGTGGCTATCACGATATCGACCACGTGCTTTGGTCATTCACCCTACATTGTGTTGCTAGATCCGAGTTATCCGCATCCCTCAGGGCCCGAGGAAAATAACCTTTGCGACCCGTTAGAGACATCTTGGCGAGCCGAGATTTTGAATATTTTAATTTAATTTATGTGTTTTTAAAACGGATCGATCTGAGGATTTAGTAGTTAGTGTCATCTTGTGTTCTCACAAGTTGCTAGGTCTCTATCGGTGTACCCCCATGTTTGTCATTTTCTCCAGTATGTCGCTTAGTTCTAGATCAAGAGCACATTGCTCTAAAAAACCTTGTGTTCTCAATCCCTACCCTGCCACCCGTTTGTTACAATTTGTTACCCCTAACCTCGAGATAGCCGCGAGTAATCGGCCCCCGCTTTACTAACGTTAGTTTTAAGTAATTTTGTTACCCAAACGATGAATATTGGCTCCGCAAAGCTACGGCAAATGAGCCTGGAAAAATAAACGCATTGAAAAAAAAGGGGGTGAGGGGCCATGTCACCGATGTAAATATTTACACCGTCCATAATGCACCAGGGAGGGGGAGAAGACTGAGCATCACAGCATATTTACCCATGGGGGTTAAAAAAGTTCTGCGAGGTACACTTATAGTGAACCAGCTGATCAGGGATTGTCGAAAGGAAAAGGGTTGGGTAGGTTTTGTGTGAAAGGCGCATAAGTTATTGTCGTATCGTTGAACAATGGCCTCGTTTTGTTTGCGCTCTCGTCACTTAGCGCATCGATTACATCACACCGTCAATGAAAAAGAAATTGAAAGAGATTAATTCATTGACCTGCCTACGCTCATTGATTTTCCATATGTGAATTTAGTTTCCGCTCTTCGCATGTCGGTCCCAAAGCAATTTTTATCAAAACTGAGTTTTACAATGCAAATGGTAGCTGATCACCCATATTTTCATAATAGTGGATGAACTCATAAACTTTATTCTGAAAAAGTTTGGAAAGACAGCCAAATTGGTTGTCTCATCCCATAAGAAGCAATGGTACGAATCAAGCTTAAAATGCAATTTTCTCGGCTTGCTGATTTTTGCCATGGGACCGACATGAGAAGAGCGGCAGTGAACACAAGAGACAATTTTCATTATGTCGTAAGTAACATTCGCACCGATCTGAGAATAATATAGGGGAAACAGTCCTATTGTTGCGGTAAGTTAGAAGCGTTAGAAGCCTTTTGTTGTGCATGGAGGCCTCCATACACAACAATAGCCTCCTGACTCTTCTAACGTATCGCAATAATAGGACTGTTTCCCCTAGTATTGTTTTGATGACCGAAAAGTTATTCCAATTTCAAATTAAACACATATAATCTCATGTGATAGTAATGTTTAACATGCAGGGTTTTAATCATACAAAGCAGATCGCTAGCATCATGCTTAAAAAATACTGGTTTTTCAGTAAAAAGTTATTGTAAGTCGTTTGGTGGCCCCCTAATGTTACTTAAGTCAAAGTGTATTTGCCATTATATTCGGGAGAATTATCAATCACGTTTCCTTACGTACAGCCCATTCATCTTTTTAGGACCATCGAAATCATCTGAGCAACAAACAGTTCGATTTATTCACTTTAATAATGAGACAACGAAACGACGAACGCACACTTTTCATGGGTTTCTCGGTGCTGTTACTTAACTCTTTTATTATCGGGGTCGGGGTCGACGGAAAAAAAAAAAAACAAACCATTATCGGGGTTAACACCAGTTCCAACCTAGTGCGAAACCGAACTTGTTGTCAGTGTGAACCTTAACCTGAGCTAGGTTTTAAAAACAAACGAGCAAACTGACGTTTGTCAGAAAACAAGCAGACCTAATCTTGATACCCGATCCACGTTGGAACTTAATAATAAACGAATTCGATATAAGACAAACGGCATCTCCATAGATATTGGGTGACTTAAGTAAAGGGCGAACACGAAATTATTGCGACACCGAAAATGTCATGCCAATTTTCTTATAATGTTTAGAATCAAACCAAAATTTTAGGGTAGTTTTATACATATATTTAATTCAAAAATCAAAAGAAAAGTTAATCGATGGAGCCTTGAGTGTAAAATTTAACGCATTTTCGCTTGATGCCCTCC